TCGGCAAAACAATGAATGAAAATACGATTACCAACCGATCGTGGTGTTCGGAGATGCTTCTGGTGGTAAGATGACTGCGGAGTCGAGTTTTGTGCGAGGCGGCGGCGCCGTCACTGTTTTGTCAAGGTTTGAACCCTGTGGTGTTCGGACTTTACTGACGGGGCCACTGCTGGGCCCGAAGCAATCTGTGCATCGGGTGAATTGCGCTGGTTTCTGGTTTTGTGATCACGCGAGGGCACATGGCGCGTGTGACATATATTGTTTGTTTCCTGCAGAGGGAGAATCCGCGTACGAGAAACGTGCTCCCATTCAAAGAGAGGCCCTCGGCAACACGTCTGTCATTGGCCGACAGATCAGGAACCCGAGCTCGAATGGCCTCTGGCCAGCCGGCGACAGGCAATGCAACGTCGGCACCTACATTCGAAGGCTAGCACTTGCGATTATCGTGCCGATTGCGAGCGCCTGAATATGTTCCTCACTATGCGGGATACCTGTGGGCTGGATCAACTATCGCAGCGAACAGCGCAACCAACGCGGACGGAAACACAGGGTGGACAGCTGGTTTATACGATCACGTATAGACACGATCGTCTGAACATTTCTCTTCCCCACCATGCGGGATAATTACCTGTGGGCTGGGTCAACTACCACAGCGCACAGCGCAACCAACGCAGAGGGAAAACAGGATGGACAGCTGGAATATACGATCACGTGTAGAGACGATGGCCTGAACATTGTGGTTCCCATCATGCGGGATACCTGTGGGCTGGGTCAACTACCACAGCGCACAGAGCAACCAACGCGGAGGGAAAAACATGATCGACAGCTCGAATATACGATCACGAGAAAAGACGATCGCACAACGCAACTCGCACAGATAAATAAAAATCGGAGGTTGGGGAGTGAGATCGCAGTGGAACGGAGACCCCCAACCGGGAAATAGTTTCGTTTCGTTCGTGACGTGCGTGCGGGCGAGGCGAAGCTGCGTGGGCGCGCGAGAGGAATGAACCCGCCGCTGCTAGGGCGAAGTCAAGACAAATGAATATCCTCCGCCAACCCGTCCAGCGGTGGCACGCGGTGTGCCCCGATGTCCCGTGGTGTCCCGTGGTGTCCGCCGCTGCTAGGGCGAAGTCAAGACAAATGGGTCTCCCCCGCCCGCCCGTCTCGCGGTGGCTCGCGGTGTGCCCCTGTGTCCCGTGGTGTCCCGTGGTGTCCCGTTGAGTGAGATCGATAGTGAGATCGATAGTGAGATCGATGTGGTGCCCCAGGGTGGCCCGTGGTGTCCGTGGTGTACCAAAAAGTGAAATCGATGGTGAGGTCGAGAGGTGTCCCGCGGTGTCCCGTGGTGTCCCGTGGTGTCCCGTTGAGTGAGATCGATAGTGAGATCGATAGTGAGATCGATCCTGAGATCGATGTGGTGCCCCGAGGTGTCCCGTGGTGTCCTATGGTGTCCCGTTGAGTGAGATCGATAGTGAGATCGATAGTGAGATTGATAGTGAGATCGAGAGGTGTCCTGCGGTGTCCCGTGGTGTCCCGTGGTTGCCCGTGGTGTCCCGCTGAGTGAGATCGATAGTGAGATCGATAGTGAGATCGACAAGTGCCCCGTGGTGTCACGTGGTATCCCGTTGAGTGAGATCGATAGTGAGATCGATTGAGTCAGATGTTGGTTCCCCCCTCTCCCCCCCCCACAACCTCCTTATCACCCGAAGGGTGATCGTATAAGTAAATATAACAACGACGATGACGGACCGACGGTAACGCAGGCTGACAATCGGTGCCGATCCCCTCAACAATCGTCAGAGGGCTGCACGCGGAGGCCTGGAGCACAGAGTGGGGTGATACGGATCAAGCCCGAAGCGTAGCACAGCAATCGAAGACGGAAGGAGATGAGAGCGAGGGCATCCTGAGCCAAGAGAAAAGCGCTGGCATGTGTGCTGCTCCTGCCGACGAGACCCTCAGCTAAGACCATCACGATCAATACACGTGCGACCAGGGTGTAAACCCATGGAATATGATTCGATTGAACAGCCGAGCTTCGGGATTTCAAACAAGGTGCACGTGCTGTCACGCTAGCAGGCGAAGCACATGCGGTTAAGGGAAAGAGAGCACAGTTTTCGAACTCCGAACCATGACTAACAGTACTCCGTTGTGAACGCTCTTGTTCCTCCATGTGGGAAGACTTTAAGCGTTTTGCAGAAAGAGAGGAATCAGAGGAGCATAAGGGGAGAAGGAGGCGGAGAGGATGGAGAAAGAGAGAGAGAGAGAGACAACTGATGGGATAATACATGTTTCCTGCAGAGGGAGATAATCCGAATCCGCACCTTGGACACGGTATGACAATAATGCGAGAACGGAGCTCGCATTCAAGGAGAGGCACTCGGCAACACGTCTGTCAATGGCCGACAGAACGTGATCCCTAGCTCGGATTCAAGAGGCGATGTTGCTGGCTCCAACGGGTGGAGGCTGAGCACAGCCGCCCTAATCCCACCAGCCCTTTCAGGTCGCGAATGGTTCAGAGCGCTCCCTCTTCCGACCCCCTTTTCCACCCCTACTAATTCTCCCCCCTCCCCCCCTCTCCGCACCTCGAGGATAATTCACGACACGCTGGAAAAGTCAGGCCCGCGATCTGTATTGACAGTAATCTGGGCGTCCGTCGCAGCTCTGCAGCGAGCTCCTGGAAAAAACGCCTCGGGAACGCGGGAGCCGCGATCGCGGGCCCGCTGTTCCGCGGTCTGAAAGCCAGCTGGGCCGTTGGAGAGGAGCAAGAAGGAGGAAGGGGAGGAGGAGGGGGAGGAGGGGGAGGAGGAGGGCATGCGTCCTGAGACGGCCAGGAAACCAGATTAATGGATACATGCAGTCCCTGCCCGAACGAGGCAAGCATCCCCGTCACGGACGAGGCCAGGAGCCAGAGAAGGTGAGACGGCATCGCCTCGTTTACGTGCTTCCTGCAACGCGGCGAATCTGGGGCACTCCTTACGCCCCAGTTTCTTAGAACAGAGCACGCGCGCAACATTGCTGCGCGAGGCTTCGGCACTGCTGCGCTGGACCCCAGGGTGTTGAAACCGTGGTGAGCTTAGGCTACGGACGCGTTGCCCGTTCGCCACTGCTGCGCCCGGTCGCCGCCACCATGCCGAGGCGGCACAGGCCTTTGGTTCAGACCGAGGCCACGTGCTGCGTGCTACCAGTCTTGTGTCGACAGCGGTGGAGACGCCCATACACGCCGTGCGCACTGGTAGCAGCAACGCGCGGTGAAAACTGCAGGCCAGCAAGGTCTCCATGTGCCCCGCCCCTCTCTGCTGATGCGTCGATGGGACTGATGTTCGTAACATCGAGTTCTTTGGGGAGCCCGAAGCCTAGAAATATCCACCGACGCCGAAATTGAGAAGAAGACTTAGCGCGTCTTGTCGTGACACCGAAGGTCAGGAGGAGGAAGAGGAGGAGGGAGAAGAGGAGGAGGGGGAGGAGGAGGATGAAGACCACCACGCCATGTCACAGGGTGACGATGACGGTCGGCTCGCAAATGTCGATGGGCTCTGAGTTGTCATCGCCTCCGCCGACCTCAGGGGCATCCGGCAGAAGCAAGACCACCTGCTTGATCGGCGACCTGGTGGTGTTCTGCTTGCCCTTCCGAGATGTCTCCGAGCTCCGGAACAGGAAGCTGAAGATGGAGGAGGCCTGCATCCCTGGCATCGCGCCTGGTAGGGTAATCGGTGGAATTACCTGCGCTCGCGAGGAGCACTTGTAGAGGGAGCGGCTTGAACCAAAGTGTCTACGGATGGCGTATGTGACATATTGCGACGCTGCTATTTCTGGTGGTTAAGCTCGCGTGTACCGTCGGCCTTGTGTTGCCAACAAAGACAAGGATCCCTCCTTCGCTTGTCATCGAGAACTCGTGCGCGGCCACTCTTGCAACTCAAGCCGCCTCATCCACCCGCGTGCCAGATGAACCATGGGCGAACATCATGACGATCGAGCGGACTGCCTACCTTATCAGGCATCGCCTACCCTCGAGGCCCTGCAGGCGGAAGAAGGGGCGGGAGCGCGCCCGAAGGTGAAAAGACCTCCTCCTCCTCCTCCTCCTCCTCCTCCATCCCGCTCATTTCTCTGTTCGGTCCATGTTCTCCAGACACTTGCTCGACGAATCCAGGCATAGAGGTAGAGTGCGTCGAGCTTCGGCATCCAAGGCGACCGCTTCTGAGTGGTGGATTATCCTTGTTTCGAACCCCAGTGTGCCAATTCGAAGCGTTGGAAATCCTTGTCGAGGGGCGGCTGCAAATCGCTGAGGGTTGGGCTGAGGGGACGCATCACAAGATGTTGTCCAAGGCACTTAATTGCGAGGCGGGGATTCTCCATATCCACCGCCTAGTCAACCGACGTCCTGGGACCCCAGCTGGCGGTAGGCGTTGGATATATGTTTGCCCCAGGGGTCCCGAGTATATCCACATCCACCGCCTGCCGAAATCCCCGAAGATCGATCTCATAGACACTAATGATGGATAAATCCTTGCCTCGGGTGAATGCCTGTCTGGTGTTCTGTATCGTGTGGCCACTTTGCCCATTCGCAGATTCGCGAGCGGGGTAAGCCATGATCGTGTCGGCTGTCATCGTCGGGATTACCTAACTCGGACTGAGGGTGGGAAGCAGCGCAAGCAGCTTAGCAGGGCTGAGCAGCTTCGTCGCTCGTAGCTCGTTTCGACCAGTACGTGGGATTGCTCGAACCTCGAACCTCCTCCTCCTTTCCCTCCTCCTGCTCGTTCTCCTCCTTATCCTCCTCATCCTCCTGCTCGTCCTCCTCCTCCTCCGCCTCCGCCTCTGCTTCCCGTTGCTCCCGGTGCTTCTGGTGTTGCTCCTCCCCCTCCTGCCTGCTGGCTGCTGCGGCTCCTCCCCCTTAGAGCGGCCTTCGTAGACAGCCATGAGGAAGCGGGCGACGAGATTCGACTCCCAGAGGGGGGCGGAGGGGTGCACCTCACTGTCACCGTGGCTTTGACTGCCCAGGCAACCCATCTGACAGTTGACGTTCACGACGGCGCCCTCTCTGGACCAGCCCCGCAGCACCTCCATGACCTGCAGACGCTGCGCCACGAGGCGATCTCTCCTCATCCTCATCTCCCCTCTCCAGCATGATCCCAGTCTTCCTCCTCAATTGTCGTTCAAGATTCCAGGATGCCCCGCGAACACGAACAGATACGTGCAAATCACCACCACCACCAACCCTGAACCCCTTCTCCACTCCGCTTGAGGGTGGCGGCAATCATTATTAATCCTGGTTTCTCCCCTACGGTCTGCCTTCCTCCCCTACTCCACCCCCTCACTCATGTTTCCAATTTCCTCCCTCCTCCTCCTCCTCCTAAACCTATCCTCTCGGGCAAGGGGGTCTGGGTGACGAATGTGCGCCGGCCAACTTCCGTCAAAGCCATTGAGAAATATGGCCCGGCCTAGAAGCGCAGCCGCGAGATGGCGTCCCTGGCTGCTTCCCCTCTCTCGTCCCCTCTTTCTTCGGCGCCCCCGCCCTGCAATCAAGTGAGCTCCGAAAAACAAATCCTTCGAGGCGATCTCCGGACACCATCTGGAGTCCGCCTCCAGTTCACGCCGCGCTTCAGCGGGAGTCACTTCATCCTTCGACGAGATCGGCCTACTACTCACAAAGTAGCTACTGGCAAATGGCCCGAATCCACCGCGAGGGGGATGCGCCCCATTACATAGGAGGAAGCCATGTTTCTCGGACGCGAGTAGGCACCCTGCGAGTAGTGGAACGCGCTCGGTGAATCCTGAGCGACCCGACCCGAGCGACGGCAGCCACGACGGCGATGGCCAGGCGGCGCCAGCGGCGAAGACCGAGCCCCGCAGCCGCTAACACGGTGGGGCCTGCTCGTGAGCGGAGGCAGACAGTTGCAACAGGGGTGGTCGGTGTGAGGCGGCGCAGGCGGGGATCAGCTCGCGCGCGAAGGCAGGCCATGGCCGAGCGATCGGCTGTGCGAGGTGGTGCGAATCACCTTCCGCTGCAAAGCTGAAGCCAGCTTCTGCGATATACGGACGCCAGGACTGCTCACTCTGCGAGAAAGAGCCGATGCAAACGCCAAGATTGATGGGCCTGTTTGCCACCACCACCACCATAAATTGGAGGGGGAGGGGGTCATCCTCCTCCTCCTCCACCTCCTCCTCCTCGTCCTCCTCCTCCTCCTCGTCCTCCTCCTCCTCTTCGTCCTCCTCCTCCTCCTCCTCATCATCCTCCGCTTTCCCCCCTTCAGCTTATGTTGGTGGTGGTGGTTATGGAAAACAGGCCCATCAAAGTACGAGATCAAAAAGCATGAAGGTGGGATCGGCCCGTGCGAGCAGGCATGCAATGGCAACTCGGCGAAGCAAGAGCCGTGCCACATCGGCCAACTGCGCTGGCGCTGCCAGTGCGAGGTGGAGCAAGAACCAAGCACCTCGAGGCGGCCGGGCAGTCTGAACTGGTTGGGGCCGAACACGGGCTCCCAACTTCGCGCTTCGCGCTGCGCGAAGCGCGAAGTGCGAATAACTTAGCGCTCTCGCGCCGCCTCCCAGGAGAGAAGAGGAGGATGGAGAGGAATCGGAGCCGAACCGCGAAGCGCGAAGAACTTCGCGCCCGAGGGCGCCCTTGAGCCACGCACCTCGAGCTGACTGGGGAGTCTGAACTGGTTGGGGCCCAACCAGAAGATCGGTCGGGAGGGGAAGATGGGGCCAAATCCGATCAAAATCGGTCCCCGGACCCCTCCCAGGTCCATCTGGTTCAGTTTCTTAACCCGGACCCATTGTTCGCGGTCCCGGGGCCCGAAAACTGCCCCCCGGAGGCCGAACAAGGCAAAAAGCCTTCCCGAGCCCAGAACTTCGAACCTGCCCGCCCTTCCTGATGGCCAGAACCAGTGCTGGGCCACCTCAGGCCCGCAGACCGCTCCAACTGAACACTACGAGCTGCAACACTGGGCTGCGCTCGTGCGGAAGAGGGCAGGGCGGTGGCAGCAGTGAGGGGCAACGATAGGGGGGACTGGCATTGGGGGGGATGCATCGACCTGGAATCGGCGATACATCGCCGATAGATCGGCGATAGGCCCCCGATAGTGAATCCGCACCTTCCTGGGCGGGTTGGTGCTATCAGACCCCTATCGGCGATCAATGAGCTATTGGGGGTCGATGCATCCCCTCCTATGCCTATCCCACCCCATCGTTGTCCCTGACGCCCCCAGACCCCCGACGTCATGATGTGTTTCTGAACCTCGGCGCCCAGGCCCCGAGGCCCGGCGAGTGCCACCGGATGCAGAGCATAGCAAACACCTCCCGTCGTGACAGCCGCCTCTGGCGGACCACGCTGTCCACTCTCCTGCCTGCCTCGTTGCCCCCGAAGCAGCCCCTGGCAGGGCGGGGGGGGGGCAGAGCCGAGCATCCTCGGCTGCAGTGCCAGGGGCAGCAGCCAGGAGACGGCGCGCAGAGGCAGCGCGGCGCAGTCGTGTCGAAACGTCGGCGTCGACACGGCGTCGATGGCTCAGCCTGGACGGTTTCCCCCAGGGCCGTAGGCGACCCCAGGAGGGGAGGGCGAGGAGGGGGAGAAGGAGGAGGATGAGGAGGAGGAGGAGGACCAGTGGAAACCCAAGAGTCATCAACGATGTTGGAATTAACCCGTTCTCCAAGCTCCCTCTTCATAGGCCACTACAACGGATCATTTCCATTGAGGGAGCTGCCTCGCTGGAAGACATTGTTCTCGGGATTTGAACGCCGCGTATCGACCTGACTGCTGCGTCTTGACGATCCAGAATCGTGCCAGAACGCCTTCTTTGGGACTTCAACATAACGAATCGATATAACTGCTGCGCCCGTATAATCCGGAATCCTTCCAAAACACCATGTCTGGTGCGCTGGTCAAAGGAATCCGTGAAACTCTTGAAAATGTTAGAACCGAATGTGCGCGGCGCTACGGCGAGACCAACGTTTTGAAAAGGAGCCGCCCTCAATCCGTGAAACTCTTGCAATTGTTCAAAACGAATGTGCGCGGCGCTGACGTGAGAATCACATTTTGAAAACGACCCGCCCTCAAGCCGTGAAACTCTTGCAAATGTTTCAGACGAGTGTGCTTGGCGCTCATGCGAGAACCACATTTTGAAAACGACCCGCCCTCCATCCGTGAAGCTCTTGCTGTAACTTTTGAAAACGAATGTGCGCGGCGCTAACGCGAGAACCACATTTTGAAAACGGCCCGCCCTCCCTCCGTGAAACTCTTGCAAATGATTCAGACGAGTGTGCGCGGCGCTAAGGCAAGAACCACATGTTTGAAACTACCCGCCCTCAATCCGTGAAACTCTTGCAAATGTGTAAAACGAATGTGCGCCGCGCTAAGGCGAGAGCCACATTTTGAAAGCGACCCGCCCTCCATCTGAGAAACTGATGTCACCTTGTAAGCTTCATAGTCATAAGTGGTGAGGAAGTCTCAGGCGAAACGCCCGGCCCGCCCTAAAAACTGGCCTCGGGGTGCGACGGGGGGGAATTATCTACAAGGAGAAAGAAATGGAGGAGGAGGAAGAGAAGGAGGAGGAGGAGGAGGAGGCAGACGAGGGGGAGGAGGAAGAGGAGGAGGAGGAGAAAGAGGCGGAGGAGGATGAGGAAGAGGTGGAGGAGGATGAGGAGGAAGAGGAGGAGGACGAGGAGGAGGACGAGGACGGGTCGCCTAAACCCTTCGGAGAAACCCTCCAGCTCAGCCTTGGAAGATCGCGACTTCTCCGTGGCGCGGATCCTTCGGTACTCGTGCCGCCAATTCCGGCGCGCCAGCATCGTCCAGCCTTGAACGCCCGAGCTGGGGTCGCCGTCGCGCCGTCACGAAGCGAGCCTACAGTTATCGTGTCACCAGAGAGAACTGACGGGGCCCAGGGACACACACATAGATAGACACACATCATGGGATTGCCCATATATTTGTGTTCCACATCTTTTCTTGACTTTCGTCTTCCCGCCCCACTTCCCATATTTTCCCTACAATTTCTTTGAAGTCGACGCTTGACTGCGCCCGTATTTATCCCCCTCTCTGGGAACGCTGCACCAGGCACGAAAAGGCCTCTGCCTGACACCGCGGGGATCGTTCAACCTTGCGCCAGTCGATGTCGGACCTGGGCGTTGGGATCGTTCAAGCTTGAACCATCGGCCGCTTCCGCAACGTCCGATCGTTCAGCATCGACCGATTCTGGGCCGCCGCCAGCGTACAACGTTGAACGCCAGCGGCGGGGTCGCCGCCTGTCGACACGACACGAACCTGCCGTAGGTTCCCCGACCTGCCTCGAAGCAACGGCACGAACACCCGAGCCCCTCCTGAGCACAACGTGGCCCTGCCTGCGACTGTACCCCCACAGGGCCCCTCCTGAGCACACATTGGCCCTGTCTACGACTGTACCTGCCGAGGGCCCCCTCCTGAGCACAAGTTGGCCCCGCCTACGACTGTACCTACGGAGGGACCCTCCTCAGCAAAACGTGACCCTACCTACGACTCCACAAGGGGGCCCTTCCTGAGCACAAAATTCAGCGTCTTGACTGCACCCAAAACGAGGCCAGAACGACGTTAACATCGGGTGATGGTGAATCGAGAATCTCTGGGATCCGGCGGCTCTGGAAGATGTCTCCGGCGCCGCGGCCTTCCCAGAGCGTTCCGGAACGCTCTGTGAGCGATCGTTCCGGAACACTCGGAACGGATTTATCCTCGCCCTAGCCCCTTCCGAAGAGCCCCTCCTAAGCACAATGTGGCACTTATTTCAGCGTCTTGACTGTACCGCAGGGCTTGCCAGGTCGTGGCGAAGCACGGGCGAGCATCATCATCAGCTTCAGCACGGGGCACCGCTCTTGTGAGAACGGTGCTTGGTCACGACGAATTCCATTGACGCGAAGGGGCGCAGGGGCCCGACATTGTCAGCAACACCGTTGGGGGCAGCGCGCGCGTACGGGCGGACAGTGGAACCAGAATCTTCCCTGAAGCATGGAACAAACATGCACGTTTCGAAGGTCCACGCGGAGGTGTTGGCTTGGCATCGCAATCACCCCCCCTCTCACCATGTCGCGCGGAACGCGTCATGGGTGGCGCTGGAGGCGCCGCCACGGGGGGCCCTCCTCCTCGTCCCCCTCCTTCCTTTGTGGCGCTGCGCTAACTCGAGCCAATGTGCTGTACCGTGCGATGGATCAAAAATAAGCAGTGCGAGGCCGACTTAGGCATAGCGACGCACAAACTGAGCAGACGGCGCGTGCAGATCAGGACGTGCAGGCAGAATCCCCCTCCTCCTGCTCCTCCTCCTCCTCCTCCTGCTCCTCCTCCTCCTCTGCCTCCTCCTCTGCCTCCTCCTCCTCCTCCTCCTCCTCCTCCTCCCCTCCTCCTCTGCCTCCTCCTCCTCCTCCTCCCTCCGCCCTCCCCCACGGCCTGCCCGAGCTGCGCCACCCAGACCCTAATGTTATCCTCGGCGTCCGCATCGTCGAAGGCGTCGACCATCGGGACGGTCGCCGTCACCATGGTCGCTTCGTGACCTCTGAAGCTTTTCTCCACCTGGCGGAACGGCGGGGGGGCAAAGCGAGGATAGCACTGGGGGCCCGCAAACAGTGCGGTGATCGCACCATGCGGGGACTCGGGGTCACCGCACGGTTTTGGGACTTGGGTCGTTATGCGAGGACGTCTCGGGCGACTGGGACCCCAAGACCGTGCGGTGACGGACCCTGCGGTAGCGGGTCCTGGGGCTTCGAGGTCACCGCACGGTCTGTGACCGCACAGTTTCGGGGACCACCAACAAAGGAATAACAACTGATTCCTCGGCAGCGTTAGGTCGGGCATGTCCTCTTACAGGCGGATTTTGGACGAATAATAAAACATATCCAGAACATATTCAACAACAAATCCAAACATAATCGGGAAACCGTCCCCTGACTATGCTTTACTATTCTTGAATGTTCCTCCTGAAAACGGACATGCCCGAATTAAACGGCAGCGCAGGCGAACGCTGGCGCGTGGGTCGGCACCGGCGGGGCGCACCGGGCGCGGGGCGCATGGACGCGCGGGAGCACCGAGGGCGGCCGCGGAGAGTCGGAGATCTGCGGACCCGGGTCAATCCAAACCCGGGTCAGCCAGGCCTTGCATGATCCTGCAGGATCATCCACGGTTCAACAAGGGTCGGTGCGACCCCGGCTCTGCAGCATCCTGCAGGATCCTGGCGGATCCTGCGCCCAAGCCAGGGTCACTGCGGCCCAGGCCCTGCAGCATCCTGCAGCATCCTGCGCCCAAGCCCAGGTCAGTGCGACCCCGGCTCTGCGAGATCCTGCAGGAGCTGGTGCCCTGACTGACCCCGTTTGCATGGACCCCCGTCGCAACGCATTTCGCAGCTCCCAGGAGCCAGGCGCGCACGGTGGCACCTAAAGCCCCATGGGCGCCTGGCGCGCCCGGTGCGCGTGGCGCGCCTGGCACGCGCGGCGCCCCTCGCCCAAAACGCGCGCACCTGGGGCGAATATTGGTTCCCAGTGGCTGCAGATCCAGAGACGACCGCTGAATAAGCTGAGACTCGGGCACTACTTCAGTGTTGGGAGGGCGGGTGGCAGTGCCGGCGCGGTGCCAAGCGGCGCTGCTCCTTGGCGAATTGCCTTGCGCGGGGGGTCGCACGGAGGCGTCTGCATGCCTGGCTGCGCAACGCATTGCGCAGCTCCCAAGGGTCCCAGACTGAGCCTCTGAGTGGGGTCGAGCGCCGCGGCTGCGCGCGTGCTCGCGTCCGCACGTCAAAAGAAGGGTGGGGGGGAGCAAGACAGTGTGCGTCAAAGAGAGGTGTCCTGACCCCTCCCCCATACCCCCTCCCCTGGGTCTGGACGGGCGGGGGCCCGAGGGATGTTTTGAGCGCTCAAGATGGCCCAGGGTGGCTCCAAGATGGCCGCCGACGTCCCGGGATGACCACCAAGACGGCTCAAGATACTTCAAGAAGATCGCCTCCCACATGCATCCAGGAGGCCTTAAGATGTGTTCCAAGATGGTTCCAAGCGCACTCCGATTCTTCAAGGCGCCCCCCGAGAGGCCAGAATCCTTCAACGACCTCTGAAAAAAAGGCGTTCTGTGTCTTCTCGCCGTTTCGTTTTCGATGCGCCTCTGAGGCTTCAGAGAGCCCCAAGAGCGGCCTCAGAGGCCCCAAGGCGGCCCCAAGAGTGCCCAAGAGGCGCCCGAAATCGTCCTGCGAGGTAACCGAAGGGATATGTTCAGTATTCCGAGAGGGGGGGTGGATGAATTGCCGCCGCCCTTCTTTTTCCCAAGAGGGCCCAAGGAGGACCAAAAGGGCTTCTGAAATGGCCCGATGGCCCCAAAAGGGCCTCCAAGGCCCTCCAAGATGGAGGGCCTGAAGAGGGTCCCAAGTGAGCTTCAAGAGGGCCCCCAGGGAGCCCCAAAGACTTCCGAAAGGCCCTCAAGATGGCTCGAACAAGCTGCCAACAAGCTCCCATGTCGAAAGATTGGCGAAGGTATCTATTGGCTGACGCCTGGGCCTGCTCAGACTGACCCCAATATGTTGCTCGACGGCAGCCCCGCCAGTTGTTCCACTGCGCGTTTACGCACTTCTCAGATCGGTGCAACTCGCCTGGGCATCGTTGCTGGATGGGCAGGTAGGGATACTCGAAGCGTCGAGAGGTTCCAAGCCTAGCCTGCGTTCTATGTTTAGGGCGTCCTGAGTTGGCCTTCGATATGGCTTGCTCTCATGGAAAAAACAGCAACAAACAGACAACCACCAGAAGCAACGAACCAAACGTTCTCGGTCCTTCAAGAATGAAGGGGCCCACAAACACACACACACACACATAAATACACACACATAAAATGATTCCCCATATTTTCCTATATGCTCTGGGTGTTTGTCTTCCCCCCCACTTCCCATTTGTTTCCCATATCTTCTGGGGAATCGACGATTGATTGTGTCTGTATTCTTTCCCCTCCTCAAAGGATGGTGTTCCCGCTGCAGCGTTGGTCACATTTCGAAATCGGCGCGTGGCCCCCGTCGTTCAGATGTGCGCTCTCGCCCAGGCCCCGGCCTAGGCCACGCTTCTGGATACAATTCGCCTCGTCGTTGCAGTCCCCCTCTTCCTGCTCCCCTCCCCTCCCCTCCTCCTCCTCCTCCTCCTCCTCCTCCTCCTCCTCCTCCCCTCCTCCTCCCCCTCTTCCTGCTCCCCTTCCCTAGGCCCTCCTCCTCCTCCTCCTTCTCTGGCCGCTGCTGCGCTCCGTCTTCTTCATGATCCTGCTCTGCCGTCTGCTCGTCCACCTGTTCATCCAGCCTCCCCCGTCCGATGTAGAAAGCCTGCCTTTCCGATTGCGCATGACACGATGGGGCCAATTGAGAGGTCTAGGTCATCTAAAACACCCTGGCCAGCGAACAGAAAAGGGATGTCAGACATGGCATGAACGCAAAAAGCTTGCCACGCCTTTTCCTTTTTCTCCTCCTCCTCTTCTTCTTCCTCCTCCTCCTCCTCATCTCCGTCACCTCCACCCTGCTCCCTCCTCCTCCTCCTCCTCCTACTCCTCCTCCTCCTCGTGCTCCTCCTGCTGCTCCTCCTCCTCCTCCTCTCCAAATCTCCGACGTGGACCCGCAAAGGGCTGTGCCCCGAGATCGGTGCTTCCCGGCGACGGCCCCCAGAAGCCGAAGCGCCAAACCTCCCGTCGTGATCTCCTCACATCGAGAGGGGGAGGGGGCCCCTCCTGCCCCCTCCTCTCCTCCCCCTCCCCCTCCTCTCGGACGCCTGGCGGCGTTCTGTCGTCACTCGGCTCTCCCGTGGCCGTCCGCGGGGCGATCCGGGCGCCCCCGGAGCGCCCTCGGCGGGGCGCAGCTGCTGGCAGGCGTCCCGGGGGCCGCCGAGGCCCGCCGACGAGCGCCCGCAGACTGCGAGCCTCGAGCCTCGGCGCGCCGCCGACTGCCCCGTGCCTCTCCCTCCCATAGGCACGCGATGCTGGGATCCTTTCAGTGCCCGGGGGCGTCCAAGAGGGGGGGCGCCAGTCATGGCCAGCGGCACGTGCGCGGCCCAGGCGGGGGCCGGGGGGCGTAATGAAAAATCAGGAGAGACGCCATGAAATCTGTGGAGGTGTCATGGCCCCCGCCATCATATCCACCCCTACTAGTCATCCCCCCCTTTTGGCCGCCCCCCGACCCGTTCCCCAGGGCCTGTTTTCGCATCGCGAGTCTTCTTGCTGACGGGCATGGGGCCACGCGAGGGCCCCCCGAGGCCGAAAACAGCCAACAAAAAACCTCCCGTCGTGATGTTTGTGCGACGCCAGCGCGTCTGGGTCCGCTGCCGCCGCCGGCCCGCCTCCGCCGCCACGTTCAGGCGGTGCGTGATGCCCTGCGCGGCGAGCAGGTCGGCGCGCGCCGCGGCCTCGAAGTCGCTCCACCACAGCTCCAGGGAGCCGGGGCCACTGCCGGCGAGCACCTCGCCGAGGACGCCGCGGAGCGGAGGGGAGCAGCGGCTCGCGGATCCAAGGCGGCGGGGCGGCGGAGGAGAGGGAGGAGGAAGGAGGCGGAGGTCGAAGAATCCGTAGCTATTTTGGCTCAAGCCATCTTGGCTCAAGCCGTTTCAGAGATTGACAGTTCTGTCTTCACATTGGACCCTCGAGTTGCTCGGTTCTCCCGCGGAGCTCCCGCGGCGATGGCAATGCACAGTTCCCTTTCTCTTGCGGCGGAAATGGTTGCAGCCGCGGCCTATGGCGCATCGGCTGGAGGGGGCTCATGGAAGGTTGTCGCTTGGGCAGTTGCTGCAGCGACGCGCACCGTCATGGACGGGAGGCTGGACAAGAGCGAGGGCAGCACGGAACCCAGCGAGGTCGATGATGAGGCGAGGGTGCGCATCGACGCCATCAAATCATGGCTCATCAGCCAGGTGTAGGGGCGTCGCTCTTCGAGAGGGCAACACGCAATGCGGGCGCCCACCATCTCATGGGCGAGGGGGCTGCGGTGCTCCAGGAGGCTTTGCAGCACCCGCAGAGCACGCAACGTGAAGGCCGGGCCCATGGGGAAACACCCGAAAAGGTCTTTCACAGTAACGTCCAGGAGTTCTTCATCGGGGACACGTCCAGTGACGAAGGTGAAGGCGAGGCCCAGACTTTCGAGTACGGCTTGAACCTGGAGCTGAAACTGGCCGACCTCAAGGACATGCTCCTCCAGCTCCGGGCAGACGTCCTCAGCGTGCCTGCGCCGAGCGATCTGAGCAATCGCGCCTCAGGGGCTGACCCACCGGTCACCAAACCCATCGCCATCACGACTCTCACGAGCGAGGCCATGGTCACTGAGGCGTTTGGCAAGAAAGATATCCCTCCCCAGGAGCTGTCCAGCCGCAGGTCGCCATGGACATCGGCGAGATGGCCACACGGGGCGATATCCTCATCGAAGGTAAGAATGCGATTGATTTCATAAAGACTTGCACTCGCAGGCTTCCGCAAGATAGGAAATGCAGCAAGTCGCGGGCGCCACCATGATAGATGTAGCCCAAACCGACTCCCTTGTAACAGACAGGGCTGATTCGCAGAGGGCCACGCATGCAGATGGCAAAGGGTCAAAGGGGCGGAGAGGTGGTCTCAAGTCGAAGCGCCTCCCAAGCCCAAAAGGTGGTTCGAAAGGTAGCCATCGCTGCGCACTCCTTGCAAGAATGCTACAGAAAACGGGCATCACCTTCGAGACCGACGGCGACCCGCTTTACGACGAGATCGAGAGCGAGCTCATCACCATGGCTGAAAGAAGGAGGCTCGGTCAATGAGCTATGCGAGCATCTCGTAGGGCGATTGCACCCGCCTAATTGCCACAGTGGCACGCCCTAAACAGCGAATATGTAAGGCCGTTTCGAATTTTAGGGTGTCTGTTGTGGTGCGTGGCGTAGGCGCTTGCACAGGACCCTGCTATTGAGGGTCTCTTGACATCTTCCTCTTCCTCCTCCTCCTCCTCCTCCCTTCCACAGCTGGCAGATGAGACGCCAGGCGAGGCCACAGCCTGGGCTCTGCTTGTAGGGGTGGGGAGGGCGGGGGAAGGCGGGTTGAGCGGTGGGGCGAGACGATGATTATGCCGCGGACTCGGTGCGCCAGGGACATGGCAAATGTCACCGAAACGGTGCGCCTGAGGACTGGCACAGGTGCAGCTTCAGCTGACCGTTGTTGCGTTGCCTGGCCCCGAGGAGGAAGAGGGACATCCAGGAAGGGTCTGGGGCTCCCACTTTTCGGGGCTGGGCCGCAACTATCATTCAGGCGCGTGATTTCTGTGCTCGCACGGACACGCTTCAGAGCGCTACAGTGCTACAGGTGGGTCGAAGGTGAGGCCATGAAAGGCAGGGCGGGCGAGGCAAGGGGGAGGAGAAGGGAGCGTTAGGAGGAGGGTTGGCAGGAAAGGGTGGAGCAGGGGGGGGGAAAGGAGGAAGAGGAGGAGGTCGACGACGACAAAGACGACGACGAGGACGTGGCTCAAGACATCTCGGCTCCAAGGGTCCGGGTTGACGCCTCGCCGGAGCTAAAACCATCCCTGGGCATCGGCCATGAGCAGTGCGATGTCACTCCTCCGCCTCCCATGCATCAAGAAAAATGGCTTGCGACTCCGAGATCCCGTGGGGAGGCGAAGGGGAGCCTTTGCGAGAAGGGTGCGCGGTGAAAACACCAGCGAAACCCAGGGCACCCTGGAGGCAAGCAGGGTGTTTCTTGGCATGGGTCTCCACTGTATGCCGGCGAGAGCCGGCCAAGGCAGAGCCGAAAAGCCAAAGCTGCAAGGGGATTCACCCTCACGAAGGCAGCGCGTGCTTAGCACGGTCACCTATCAACTTCGTGCATAGCATTAGGTCGGGCATGTCCCCCTACAGGCAGATTTTGAAGGACAAATGAAAAATAGCCAAACAATGCTCAAACATGGTCAAACAATAATCGAAAAATCGTCCCCGTACTATGTTTTGTCTACTTTGGGATATTCATCCTGTAGAGGGACATCCCAGACTTAAGCATAGCGCCGCGCGAGATCAACTTCGAGCCATCGCGGCCTCGCCCGACCACCCTTGGAGAAGGGTAGCCGCTGTGGCCCAGGCCGCGACGCGCGAAGCGCAAGTATCTTGGTGCCCCCCGCGGTTGACCTGGCTTACGGCAGGTTCGTGTCGTGTCGACCCGGGGCTTGGCTACTGACACCGCGGGGATCGTTGAACCTTGAACGATCGGCCGTTTCCGAAACGTCAGACCGATCAACATCGACCGATTCTGGGTCGCCAGCGGCTTTCAACGTTGAACTCCGCCTGCGGGGTCGCCGCCAGTCGACACGACGTGAACCTGCCGTACTGTGCGCGCTTGTCGCAAGAGAACCTAGAGATTCTGGCCATGAGAGCGTAAGCCAGCTGCCCGCGAACGCCTCAGGGAAGAAGATGAGTCACGACGTCACTCCTGCGAACACGCCCCAGAGACCCCCCACAAGCAAAACAACCGATCTGGAAACGAAACTCCCGTCGTTCAGATACTTGCCACCACGAATGCATTCGAGAGACTTCCACAAAGACTGGTGGCAGTACCCCCGAGAGGAAAGGACCACATATGCTCCTAAGTAGCGGCAGCAAGGGAGGGAACGAGCGGGTTTGAGGGGCGACGTGAGGGGTGGACTGGCTGGAGGGGAAGCTCGACCTGGAGTCGGCGATACATCCTCCAGGAGACATCCCCTCGATGGAGGGAGGAAGCGAAGACGACGTCGTCGGCAAGGTCGGCGGCGGCGGCGGTAGCGCCGGCGCCGGCGTCGCCGGCGTCGCCGACGGCGCCGACGACGACGACGACGACGACGACGACGACGACGACGACGACGGCCAGCGGCGGCGGCGGTGGCGGCGACGACGCCTGGCGGCGGCGGCGACGGCGGCGGCGGCGGCAACCATGGCCACGACGGCGACGGCGACGGCGAGCCAGAGGGCCTTCCGCGTCTGCAGCGGTGCGCCGTCGCCGGAGGCCGCGGGGCCGGCGCCCGCTGCCCGGAAGGCGGGCTGCGCCCGGGGCGGGGCGATGCCCAGGGCCGCGTCGGCGGCCCGCAGCACGGCGCCCGTGTACCTCCAGCCTGGGAGCACGAGAAGCAAGCGCACGCAGGCACGCTCGCACGCACCACGCACGCGCGCGCACGCACACACACACAGACACACAGACACAGACACACACACACACACACACACACACGCACACGCACACGCACACGCACGCACACGCGCACACACACACACACACACGCACACGCACACACATACATTTGCGTCGGCTGCTAGGCAGAGAGTCACTGCGCTGGCGATGGGGCGTTGGTGGATGCACGAACGCGAAGTAAGCCAGCATGCAGGAGGAGGAGGGAGGAGGCGTCCGGCGGCGGCGGGAGGGAGGAAGCCCGGCCCGCTCAGAGCAGGGCCAGCCACACACACACACACACACACACTCTTGTTGGCGATCGCGGCCTCGCGCGCAGCGACGAGGCGGAGAACATCCCCAGGCAACCAGAGAGCGCGCGCGGCTGGCTCCTCAGAAAACGGGGCAGGGATCCAAGACGGATTAGTCGTGCCATGCGCACGCCCCAGCATGGTCAGCGGGGGTGACGGGGTGCAGGATGCGGCATGCCAGAGGGGCCAGCAAGGGGGTGCGCAGTGCAGCCAGGCGGCCGAGACGAGACGACAACAAATGTGGGCCAGTCACGAACAGTACAACGAGGCCGAGGCAAACACAGCAGGGCAGCACACACACACACACACACACACACCGTGCTACCCATTGGCGTTCGGCACTCTCTGGCGGTCCTGGGCGGCCTCCCGCGGTGACTCCGCCGATCGAGGGGGCTCAGATCGAACGCCCTCTTGCACAAAACCAGCTTGCTGAGCTTCGTGGAAGACAGAGGGAACAGATCGCACCGTGATGCGCACGGCGACCTGTCACGCTGCCCTACACAGTTCGCATAAGGAGCAACAAACGGCAGAAACTGCCGGAGGTCCGCGCGGATTTCTTGGATCGGCGCTGCGCCCCACTCACGGCGCCTCCACCGCCGCCTCAGGCGCGCTCCGCGCGCCAGGGAGGATGACCCAGCGCGAATCCGAGAAATCCGCGCAGATCTCCGACTGGGTATGTTTCTTCCGTTTATGCAGATTCCTGTTGCATCGACGAGTGGGCCAAGCTGCTGATTATCAGAAGGAGCGCCTGACAAGGAATGAAGCACTCCTTTGGCCCCAGACACGTCCGGGTGCGCGAGGCGCGCCAGGGGAACAGCCGTGGGAAGACCTGAGGAACAGCGAGCCCATTCCGCATCCGCAGTGCTCCTAACGCCAGTGATCAGTGATCCCTGGCCAGGCCCATCCTGGCCTCCAGATGGGCCCAGCCAGGATCGGTGCACGTACGGCCAGACCTGGGACAGAAAAACATGATTCAAGAGTATGAGACCCTCCGCCGACAAAAGCACCCCAAACCAGAAGATCATTCGAGGATACCCTCCCCCGGGATGCACAAGATCACCCCGCAAGCACGAACACCATGGTACCCTTCCCGAACCGACCTCGATCTTATACCTCGGTCTGGCCGTACAGTGCGGGCGCGGCCGCAAGAAACCTTCGCATGAAACCCAACCCTGAAAACCCGCGCGCGAGGTAAAACCCGGAGCACCCCGAACGCAGCAGCTTCTTCACCGGCCGCGGAAAGTTACCGCGCCGCGCGCGGAGCGAAGAAACCCAGGGCACCTTGACGAAAAGCAGATAGTTTCTTGATGCGCGCCCCCACTGCATGTGCACAGTTCTTGCCTCGTTCTTGCCGCCCAGCAACCGCCGGCCGCGTCCGCGCGCACCTCGGGGCAGCTGGAGTCCTGGGCCGCCCGTGAACCGAACCCAGACACCCCTCGTAAAATCGGCCTCGACCTTGTCCTCATCTCGGGCCAGGCGAAAGGGGGGGAATAGCAAAGGGGGGGTCGAGAATCAGCTCACGCAGCTGATTTTCCCGGCGCCTCCCGGCGCCGCCCGGCGCCGGAGGCGGCCATGTATCGAGGAATGGGCCCCTCGGTGGGGCTGAAACCAGCCGCATGCAGCAGAGTTCGTACCCCCCCTTTCCCTATCCCCCCCTTTCGTCTGGCCCGAATATCCTGAGACTGACACGACCGAATGCGACGACAATCTTAGGGATGCGCCCTCAGAAACCGAGGGAAACCGTAAGATCGGCAACGAGACAAGGAGACGCCAGTCGTAGATTTGGGATCTGGTGTCGCAAAGGCTTCTCGCCGCTTTCGGCCTCCAGAGCCGTTTCTGAACCCTGGAGCGCTCCACGGAAACAATTCACAGAGAGGGGCAACAAAAAACGCCAACAACACAAATTTCTTGGGGGTCCACGCGAATTCCGTGGATCCGTGCTGGGCCCCACCCGGCGGCGTCTTCGGCGCCCCCCCTGGCGCGCTCCGCGCGCCAGGGAGGGGGGTCCAGCGCAAGTGTATTGCAATTGCAAGTCCAACTGCACGTGATGCTGATGATTGATTGCGAACGTAAACCTCCTCCTTCTCCTCCCCCTCCTCCTCCTCCTCCTCCTCCTCCTCCTCCTCCTCCTCCTCCTCCTCCTCCTCTCCACCTCCTCTTCCTTCACCTCCTGCTCCCCCCTCATCGTCGTCCCCATGCGCCGCCCCTCCTCAACTTCCGACTCCAAGATCCCGTTCTACACCCCCCTCCGATGCCTATGCGCCGGCACTCCTCTCCCTCCTCCGCCCCACTTCTCCCTTCTCCCCCCCCCGCCCCCTGCTCCTGCTCCTGCAACTGCTCCTGCTCCTGCTCCTCATCCTCCTCCATCTCCATCTCCTCCATCTCCTCCATCTCCTCCTCCTCCTCCCCTCCCCCTCCTCCTCCTCCTCCTCCTCCTCCTCATGCTCCTCCTACTGATGCTCCTCCTCCTCCCTCCTCCTCCTCCTCCTCCTCCTCATCATCATCATCATCATCATCATCATCATCATCCATCATCAGCATCAGCATCAGCATCATCATCAGCATCATCACCATCATCATCATCACATCATCATCATCATCATCATCATCATCATCATCATCATCATCATCATCATCAGCATCATCATCAGCATCAGCATCAGCATCAATCATCATCATCATCATCATCATCATCATCATCATCAGCAGCAGCATCAGCATCATCAGCATCAGCATCAGCATCAGCATCATCATCATCACCACCATCACCACCATCAGCATCATCATCATCACCACCACCACCATCACCACGACCACGATCAGCATCATCATCAGCATCATCACCACACCACCACCACAATCATCATCATAAGCATCATCATCATAGTCATCATCTGCACCATCAGCATCATCAGCATCATCATAATCATCAGCATCAGCATCATCATCATCATCATCAATATCATCATCATCAGCAACATCATCATCATCATCAGCATCACCATCACCATCACCATCCTCATCATCATCATCATCATCATCATCATCATCATCATCATCAGCATCATCATCATCATCGTCCTCGTCCTCATCCGTCCCTTCCCTCTCCTCGCCTCCTCCTCCTCCTCCTCCACCTCCTCCTCCTCCTCCTCCTCCTCCTCCTCCGTAGCCATTTGGCTCAAGATGACGACCTGGGGGGCTGTCCAGCCTCCAGGCCGAAGGGAGACCTCTGGACCGAGGACAGTTCCCAGACGGGCGTCGGGCGCGCGCGCGGCACCGCTGCAGCCATGGGGAGTGGCGGCGGCGGACGCGGGGCGGGCAGCGCCTGGTCGGGGACCCCGAATCGCCAGAGGGTTCCCCCGTGGAAGAGGAGCAGCAGTGGCAGTCGCCCTCCTCGCAGCAGCTACGTGGTGTGTGACGGGTGCAGCAGATGGCGCTACTGCAAGAATATCACCAGCAGGGGCGACCTCTGCATCTGCGGCAAGAACCTCGCCTGCCTCGTCCCCGACGGTCATGTCTTCCGTGACGACGATGGTGGGTGGCTGGCAGCACAGCCCCAAAGAGGAACCTCGCCCAGGATCAGCTGGGCAGATGGTTGGCAGCCAGGTGGTGGTGCAGGCGGGAAAGGGCAAGGAGGCCAACGCCAGCCACTCCCTCACGACAAGACTGTCGACCTCAAGGCTGCCGCCGCAGCAGCTTACAGCAAGCTCAGCAAGGACGACCCGCTCGGGCAGCACTACGAGGCCCTCTGGCCTGAGCTCGCCGCAGCTAAGCCACCAGCAGACCAACCAGTCGTTGGATTCAAGGAAGTGGAGGCAACTGCTCGACGCTTGGACAAACTCCAGAAGAAAGTACGATCGGCAGGGGAGCAAGTCGAGAGTGCCCAGCAGCACTTGGCTGAGAGTGAACGCAAGCTTCGTGAAGCCATGGAAGCCTCCACTGCAGCCGAAGATGAGTTCGACAAGCTCAAGGCCACAGTCGGCAAGCAAGAGGCCCCAGCTGAACCTGCAGCCGAGAAGCCAACGCTGGCAGCCCTCCTGGAGCAGTTCGAGCATGAGCCTGACGACTCCCACAAGTGGTCCGAGCCCGACAAGGAGGTCTGGCGAGCAGCGAAGGCCAAGGGCGAGCGCATGGCCCAGACGGTCAAGGAGCACGAGGAGGAGAAGGCGAAGCACCTGCGACTACTGGAGGAAGAGACGGCCAGGCACCAGGAGCAGCTGCGCCAGCTCGAGCAGGCCCGCACCAAGCGCCTGTCAAAGAGCGGAGTGCAAGACCCAGCAGCAGCAGAAGCCCCACCAGGCAAGCGAGTCTGCGCCGCCAGCCCAGCCCCTCAGCGAGGTGCCACCACATGCACTGAGGTAGCAGGGACAGCCGCCGCGGCTGCGCCCACCGGCGCCGCAGCAGCTGCCCAACCAGAAGCAGCCGCGGCAGAACCTGACAAAGCAGAAGAACGCCGAGCCAGAGTGGAGGCCCACATCCAGGAGGCGCGAGAAGGTCTCGCTGGCAAGGCGCGCCGAGACAGTCGTCGACGCAGAAGGGCAAGGTGACCACTCAGCAGGGTAGCCGCCCCAAGGCGAGCGCGAAGAAGGCTCGCCGCCCGCGTCGCATCGACTTCTTCAACGTCACGACCTGGGGCCCCCAGGCACAGGGCTACCTCATGGAGATCAACAATGCCAAGGACAGGGACATCATTGGCATCGCGGAGCACCACCTCCGCCAGCCTGCGCAGATAAGCAAGGCAAGAGCGGCGCTCAGGAGGAATGGCATGCACAGCTACTGGACCAAGGCACGGCCAGGAGAAGGAGAAGGCACTCGAGGAGGCACGTGTGCCATCACGCGAGGATCCTTGGACATCCAGGACAGGATCGCGGGTTTTGATGAGCACTACCTGCACGAGGACGGCAGTGACGTCACGGTGGTGATCTCCAACCTGCACAACGTTCGTTTCGCAGTGGCCTTCGTCCACCTTGAGTGTGGGACGGGCTTTGGAGAGCGGAACGTCGACATCCTCTGCGACCTGCGGGAGAAGATGGCCGTCCGGGGAGGGCCCTGGGCAGCGCTTGGGGACTTCAACATGACGCCGTCGGAGCTCAGCAACAGCATTTGGCCCAGGGTGCTGAATGCTCAGGTAGCAGCGGCGGAGGATGGCGCCCCCGCATGTTCCCCAGCAGAAGGTGCAGCCAGGTGCATCGACTTCGCGCTGATCTCGCAGGGCCTGGCGCCGCATGTCGACCAGCTGGAGCTGCTCAGGACCGCGCCGTGGAAGCCGCGCATCGGCATCCGCTTGAAGCTGAAGGGGCGGCCTCTCATGCTCAAGGGCAGGGTGCTTCGCAGGCCAGCAGCCACAAAGCCGCCAGTCACAGTCGAGAGAATGCCGAAGTCCAGAGCCGCTTGCAGACGAGCGGCGCGCGGAGGCCAGGAGGCCATGCGCCGACGTCAGCAAGCGCCGGCAGAGGCAGGATGCGACCTGGACGAGAACGACATGGAGCCAGTGCCGCAGCTGCACTACGACAAGGAGGTCCAGCACGTCATCCCTGACGAGCTGTGGCAGGCCACCTCCGAGCGGGTCAGCGCGCGCGCCTACGACGAGTTGCCCCAGCACTTGCAGCACACAGTCGTCGGCAAGATGATGGAGCGGGACATGCTGGACCTGGGGCAACAGTACGACCGCTTCGCAAGCACCCTCGAGCTCAGCCTGCGCGAGAGCATCGGCATCCCAGAGGAAGAGCGTGGACGACATCTCGGGCACAGCCGGCCCCCGAGCTACAAGAGCGCGAGCATCAAGGACACCGTCACCTCTACGCCATGGGCAGGGGTCGAGAGGAAGATCCACGCGTGGTGGGCGGAGACCTCCTCCTTGGCGCGGCAGCTCTCGCACCATGATGCCCGAGCGCAGGAGGCAGCAGCAAGTCGACAGGGCAAGACCCAGGCACTTCCCGATGAGGACTCAGGAGGTGGACAGGGCCCGTCGGCGCCTGAGCTTGGCCCCGTCATGTCTGACAGCCAGGTAGGCCACGAAGACGGGGTTCCCGCACCAGCCATGAGCCCATCGAAGAGCTCGGGAGGAAGCTCGGTGGATCGCGCCCCCACCGAGCGGGGTGAGGGCCCCCCCGAGCTGCAGCAGCGGCGCGCAGGCAGTGGTGGCGCAGCTGGAAGCGGCGGCAGTAGCACCAAGGACATCGCGAATCAGCCAGCACTTGAGGAGGTCCCCCCTCCTCAGGCTGAGGTCCAGGAGCTCACAGAGGGGCCGGCCCAAGAGAGCCCAGAGCGACCCTGGTTCAGCCCGGCATCGCCGCCAAAGGACGCGCCCTGGACCTCCGAGACGGGAACAGCGTTACAAGAGATGAGGGCGAGGCGGCCCGGCCTAGAGAAAGAGGCAGGCCCCTCCTCACTCTCCTCGGGG